TTAGCAGCAGACACGGTGGCAGGGTACAGCTATACCATACATACAGTATCAATAATACCTAGAAAGTATATTCATCATTGGTTTTAGAATGAGATACTTTCTATAGTCTTGACAACGCTAAAACATGCTTTAAAAACTTTTGTTCGACGTTTTCACATCTTAAACTTCAAGTCACCATGTAAATGTTACAAGTCGGTTTGTTTATATTTGAAATACAAGTATAGATATTTAATTTCCTCTTGTCAAGCATTTAAAACACATAATATTGGCGTTGTAGATTTCTGTCTTATAGCAGTGAGACGAAAGTTTATTTACTGTTTATGGGTTGGTACACATATGCAATAAAACCACGACATATGTGGTCACAAAGTAATTTGTCAGTACACTACAGGGACAAATAATGTATATTAATCCCAATCACCTACTTAACTTGCCAAACAAATAGTAACATGCGCTGGACTTATAAAACAAAACAGAAACATTCACTGCATTTATCAAACAATCGGAAACATCAAGTTCTTCAAAACGCTCTTTTTAAAGTATATATTGCCCTCGAAGGTTCCACGCATCGAACAGATGAGAGTTCACGGAAACCTGCATTATTATATTCGTGTATTCAAGTAACGTAGTAAAATGATGTTTTTGATCTTTCTTACTTATGTATGGTAACTTTCTCTGAAAACATAAAAAGATCAGCTCTGTTAACTGTGCAATCCAACCATTTCTTACGTAGATTCATATATATACATACATAAACACTTGACCATAAGTATCTAAGACAACTCAACAGGAAAGAAAGGAAAGTGTTAAAGGCATTTAACGAAACTACACACAGCCGATAGCAAAAGAAATTTGCAGAACCGGAAGCGTTGTATCACTTTTAAAAAGTTAATTCCTGAAGTGAAGAAAAGTTTATTATTAATCAACGAGTTTTATTGTGTATGAAAAAGTCAATATGGGGTATACAATGCCCTTTGCTCGTCGTCTCAAACCATTGACCAGACACCGAGACTTGTTCTGAAGAAACCGCTGCCACTCCCGAATCGATGCAGCCCGTAATTCTCCAATTGTTTGGCATTTTGGATCTCGTGCATTGACGTTTTGTCCGAGATTGTTTCATACATGTCCAACTGGGTTCATGTCTGGTCACATTGCAGGTCCTGTGAGCATCTCTAATACTTCTCGTGTCTTGCACTAAGCGGGTTCTGTATAGTTTTGCATTATCATCCATTAGGACAGTCCGATCTTCCAATGGATGGCATCGGAATGCGGAATGACTGAAGGTCGAAGGATCTTATCGCAGTACATCTGCCCGTTTAAATTTTATTTAGGACATGCAAGCGAAGTTTACGTAGAAAAATATTCACATAAAATAAGACCAACAACACCAAAAGCTGTTGTGGCCAGGATGTGATGATGATGGTATTCCGTATTTCTTGGGTCTTCAAACACGGATTCTGCCATCTTTCGGACAAAGTAAAAAGCGGCTTTCGACAAATCAGTCAACAGATGGTGTTGTACTGGTCAGAAAGATAGAAGTTACCTACGGTTCAAACGCCTGCTAACGGCAAGCCGCTAATACGAACGTTGTTGTTCCATTAAATGTCCTCCGAGCCTGTTGGCAGTGGCGAACAACGTCTATCGTCTCTATCTGTATTTTTTTTCGAGCAATGTCAGCCCTGGAACACTTTTGAACATATCCGGTTTGATTCAGAAGCTGCAGAAACGGAGACATCATAGAACGGCTAACATTAACACGTGCAACGTGCAGCTATTGGCCTGTATGATATAACTCCTCGAACCATTCTAAAAATTCAGACTATTCTGCTAAAAAATGTCTTAAAGGAATAATTAAAGCAAAGTAATGGAATAACTGATTGATTTATTGTGCTTATCATCAGTGAAAAAGTAAATTATCCTTGAAACCGAAGATGTAATGTTATAAAAACTGAATACTTTATAATTCTCTTGAAGTTGGAATAGGAGGAGGATGACGTCAGTCGTTGTAAATCCTTAGTCTGCATTAATTTGTAATTTGCATTCGGCAGTCGATGTATTTTGAGCCCTACCATTGTCCTTTTAAATGAAGGTAAAATTAGACATAATTTTTTTTATTGCAATTGTTACCTTACTTTTACCTGATTTTCTTTCACTTTGTTTTGATGTTAATTTTTCATGTTATCAGGTTTCTGTAATTCGGTTAATGTGCCCTTTTCTGGCTCATTTTTCAAGATTTTTCTGTTTTGCCTCCAATAGCTTAATTGATCTTTACGTCAAGAAAATCATTATTATTATAAAAAAAAAAAAGCATAGGTTAATAATGCACTCGTATAGTGGTTTCAATAAGTAATTATAACCCAACTGGAAAATCATGGAAGTGTTCAATGGTCTTTAGTTACCGTGTACTTCATTCCTATGCATCAGACAAGACAATATTTTCTTTTACGTCAGAGAATTTGGGCTTAATATGGATTGTCCATCAAACAAGAAATTTCCTGAGAAACAATTCATCATTGAATAATTGCAAATGACATTACGATAACACCCTTTAATTAGAATAATGCGTGTGAGCCTCCACGTGGCAACCTTAAACAAACGAGGAAGTAGTGTCATTGTTCATTGTCATCCTACAGGTTTCCGATTAGTAACGAAACATTGTTTTAGCCCAATGCGGACAGGCATACGACACTTAATCCGGAACACGTGACCTTTTTCACTCGTACCTGTACAATATGTCCGCTATGTTACAACTCATTTCGAATAAATACCTTTGTATATAAACAAACCTGTCGCGTTATTTTTTTCTTTATTTCTCAGCAGTCTTTTGAGAAGCGTCAGAGTTAAGTATAAGGTAATGTGATACTGAATTCACAAATGAAGTATATCTGAGGATGTTAGCATAGTTTAATGTCAATTTTATATCGATAGATTAAGGCACACTGAAAATGACAAAACAAAAACCAAAAACCAAAAACCAAAAAAAAAACAAAACAAAACAAAAAACAAAAACAAAAAACAAAAAAAAAAAAAAAAAAAAAAAAAAAAAAAAAACAAAAAAACAAAAAAACAAAAAAAAAAAAAACAGAGGTGCAATAAAGCGAACACCTCCTCTTTCTCTTTTTTGATCAAATGTTTCTGTCCAGGAAAAGTCATAAGCCTCAGAGATCGGATGTTTTCCTCTGTTGACCAATGCTTCTGAATATAAAAAGAGAGGCTGTTTGTCTATTATTGAGCAGAGTTTCTAGGAAGAGAGCAGCTGCTTGTCTTGGATTGAGCAGAGTTTCTAGGAAGAGAGCAGTTGTTTGTCTAGGTTGACCAGTGTTTCTGGGCAGAGAGCGACTGTTTGTGTCCGGAAGAACAGTGTCTGGGCAGAGAGAGGCTGTTTGTGTCCAGTAGAATAGTGTCTCTGGGCAGAGAGCGACTGTTTGTATTCGGGTGACCAGTGTCTCTGGGCAGAGAGCGACTGTTTGTATTCGGGTGACCAGTGTTTCGGGGCAGAGAGAGGCTGTTTGTGTTCGGTTGACCAGTGTTTCTGGGCAGAGAGAGGTTGTTTGTGTTCGGTTGACCAGTGTTTCTGGGCAGAGAGAGGTTGTTTGTGTTCGGGTGACGAGTGTTTCTGGGCATACAGAGGCTGTTTGTGTTCAGTTGACGAGTGTTTCTAGGCAGAGAGAGGCTGTTTGTGTTCGGTTGACCAGTGTTTCTAGGCAGAGAAAGTCCGTTTGTGTTCGGGTGACCAGTGTTTCGGGGCAGAGAGCGGTTGTTTGTGTTCGGGTGACCAGTGTTTCGGGGCAGAGAGAGGTTGTTTGTGTTCGGGTGACGAGTGTTTCTGGGCATACAGAGGCTGTTTGTGTTCAGTTGACCAGTGTTTCTAGGCAGAGAAAGTCCGTTTGTGTTCGGGTGACCAGTGTTTCGGGGCAGAGAGAAGCTGTTTGTGTTCGGTTGACCAGTGTTTCGGGGCAGAGAGAGGTTGTTTGTGTTCGGGTGACCAGTGTTTCGGGGCAGAGAGAAGCTGTTTGTGTTCGGGTGACCAGTGTTTCGGGGCAGAGAGAGGCTGTTTGTGTTCGGTTGACCAGTGTTTCTGGGCAAAGAGGTTGTTTGTATTCGGGTGACCAGTGTTTCGGGGCAGAGAGAAGCTGTTTGTGTTCGGGTGACCAGTGTTTCTGGGCAAAGAGAGGTTGTTTGTGTTCGGTTGACCAGTGTTTCTGGGCATAGAGAGGTTGTTTATGTTCGGGTGACCAGTGTCTCTGGGCAGAGAGAGGTTGTTTGTGTTCGGGTGACGAGTGTTTCTGGGCATACAGAGGCTGTTTGTGTTCAGTTGACCAGTGTTTCTGGGCAGAGAGAGGTTGTTTGTGTTCGGGTGACCAGTGTTTCTGGGCAGAGAGAGGCTGTTTGTGTTCAGTTGACCAGAGTTTATAGGCAGAGAGAGGCTGTTTGTGTTCGGTTGACCAGTGTTTCGGGGCAGAGAGAGGCTGTTTGTGTTCGGGTGACCAGTGTTTCTGGGCAGAGAGAGGTTGTTTGTGTTCGGGTGACGAGTGTTTCTGGGCATACAGAGGCTGTTTGTGTTCAGTTGACCAGTGTTTCTAGGCAGAGAAAGTCCGTTTGTGTTCGGGTGACCAGTGTTTCGGGGCAGAGAGCGGTTGTTTGTGTTCGGGTGACCAGTGTCTCTGGGCAGAGAGAGGCTGTTTGTGTTCAGTTGACCAGAGTTTATAGGCAGAGAGAGGCTGTTTGTGTTCGGTTGACCAGTGTTTCGGGGCAGAGAGAGGCTGTTTGTGTTCGGTTGACCAGTGTTTCTGGGCAGAGAGCGGTTGTTTGTGTTCGGGTGACCAGTGTTTCTGGGCAGAGAGAGGCTGTTTGTGTTCAGTTGACCAGAGTTTATAGGCAGAGAGAGGCTGTTTGTGTTCGGTTGACCAGTGTTTCGGGGCAGAGAGAGGCTGTTTGTGTTCGGGTGACCAGTGTTTCTGGGCATACAGAGGCTGTTTGTGTTCAGTTGACCAGTGTTTCTAGGCAGAGAAAGTCCGTTTGTGTTCGGGTGACCAGTGTTTCGGGGCAGAGAGAGGCTGCTTGTGTTCAGTTGACCAGAGTTTATAGGCAGAGAGAGGCTGTTTGTGTTCGGGTGACCAGTGTTTCGGGGCAGAGAGAGGCTGCTTGTGTTCGGTTGACCAGTGTTTCGGGGCAGAGAGAGGCTGTTTGTGTTCGGGTGACCAGTGTTTCTGGGCATACAGAGGCTGTTTGTGTTCAGTTGACCAGTGTTTCTGGGCAGAGAGCGGTTGTTTGTGTTCAGTTGACCAGTGTTTCTGGGCAGAGAGAGGCTGTTTGTGTTCGGGTGACCAGTGTTTCTGGGCAGAGAGAAGCTGTTTGTGTTCGGTTGACCAGTGTTTCTGGGCAGAGAGAGGTTGTTTGTGTTCAGTTGACCAGTGTTTCTGGGCAGAGAGAGGTTGTTTATGTTCGGGTGACCAGTGTCTCTGGGCAGAGAGAAGCTGTTTGTGTTCGGTTGACCAGTGTTTCTGGGCAGAGAGAAGCTGTTTGTGTTCGGTTGACCAGTGTTTCTGGGCAGAGAGCGGTTGTTTGTGTTCAGTTGACCAGTGTTTCTGGGCAGAGAGAGGTTGTTTATGTTCGGGTGACGAGTGTTTCTGGGCAGAGAGAAGCTGTTTGTGTTCGGGTGACCAGTGTTTCGGGGCAGAGAGAGGCTGTTTGTGTTCGGGTGACCAGTGTCTCTGGGCAGAGAGAAGCTGTTTGTGTTCGGTTGACCAGTGTTTCTGGGCAGAGAGAGGTTGTTTATGTTCGGGTGACGAGTGTTTCTGGGCAGAGAGAAGCTGTTTGTGTTCGGGTGACCAGTGATTCATGGCAGAGAGAGGTTGTTTATGTTCGGGTGACCAGTGTTTCTGGGCAGAGAGAGGTTGTTTGTGTTCAGTTGACCAGTGTCTCTGGGCAGAGAGAGGCTGTTTGTGTTCGGGTGACCAGTGATTCATGGCAGAGAGAGGCTGTTTGTGTTCGGTTGACCAGTGTCTCTGGGCAGAGAGAGGCTGTTTGTGTTCGGGTGACCAGTGATTCATGGCAGAGAGAGGCTGTTTGTGTTCGGTTGACCAGTGTTTCTGGGCAGAGAGAGACTGTTTGTGTCAGTTAATATTACCTCAGTACAACTTGACATTGATGTGTCATTACACTTGAATATTATCACTGTAAAAATGGCCCCAAACTCCAAAAACACGTTATTGTTTCATGTAACAACAAATTTACGATGAAACATTGTCAATTTTCCTCCAATTTTAAGATGATTTTCTTTCCATCCTATTGTCCATTCTATATGCATTTGAAAATGTGGATAAACAAAATTGTATTATATTTAACTGCTACCTTGCATATCAATCTGTACATGACGGTGTATCTATGAAGCCATGCAAGACTGTTTTCATATTCAATTCCGACAGTTCGAGTGTGTAGCTGTAATGTACAGCAACAAGCAACCAATTATATTCATGAGAAGTTTCATGGTTAACTATAGGAATACAAATATGGCATCCATTTCTGTCACCTTTTGTGTGGAAAGCAATGAAGCTTTATCAGGAGATACTTCTGTAAAGGGCATGCATTTTAGCAAATATAGTAGTGATGCCTTGCCGTGCATTAATATCATTATAAACATCATTTACTCATCAGTGTTACATATTGTATGAATTCAGCTCTTTTAGTGAATAGAAAAAAATAATAAATCTGGCTTAGCTTTACTATCTCTAAACACATACGTCTGATTATATAAAAAATTAATAGAGATAAATCAAGCTTAACTTCATTATCTCTAAACACATACTTCTAATCTTATCAAAATAGATAAAGATTAATCTTGTTAATCTTAAATACCTCTAAACACATACGTCTGAACGTATTGCGATCATTTAACTATCAAAATTCACCTATTATAATAGCATGAAATTTTTTACATGTTTCTTTGTTTCTATATACCCCATACACCAATACGTTAGGATCAAACCGGGTCCGATTCCTTATAAAAATATGAATGTGTTCTTATTGTGTTGCGCCCATAGATCGTGATTTGATGAGGGGGTCACTAACTCATATTTCCTTTGTAAACATCATACTATTGATTATACATTGACCCAAATTGTCGGTGTCGGTCAGGACACTGACCACGCTTCATCTTCTAGAACTTTTGATCGTGTTCAGGCAGAATGCAAATAATTCGGATTACAGCTATATATTTTATGGTGAATTCTTGTCCCCTTACATACATACATACATACATACATACATACATACATACATACATACATACATACATACATACATACATACATACATACATACATACATACATACATACATACATACATACATACATACATACATACATACATACATACATTCATCAATACATACATACATACAAACATACAAACATACATACATTCATCAATACATACATACAGACAGACTGACAGGCACGCACGCACACACGCACGCACGCACGCACGCACGGGCACCCTCACACACACTCACACTCACACTCACACACACACCCCTTACACACACACACCCACCCTTACATACATACATACATACATACATACATACATACATACATACATACATACATACATACATACATACATACATACATACATACATACATACATTCATCAATACATACATACATACAGACAGACTGACAGGCACGCACGCACGCACGCACGCACGGGCACCCTCACACACACACACACAAACACACACGCACTCACACTCACACACACACCCCTTACACACACACCCACCCTTACATACATACATACATACATACATACATACATACATACATACATACATATATCCGCCAGGATTCGAACCCGGGCTAACTAGTCTGACGCTCAACAGATCGAGGTAAAGAGAAATTCTCTCTAGCCGAGCGGTATTTTGCGGCTGGTACATTACCAGGTTTACAACTGTAAAAATTTACTACACTATGCTATATATATAAGTATTCCATACATGCTTTTTTGTCGTCTTTAATATTTATATCTGTCGTCTAGACGATGGTCAGTCTTACTCAGGTATTGGAAATGGGAAGTTGTGACATCACGCAAGGATGTCAAACTCGCTGTTTAATCCAAACCCATTATATAGTACGTGAAAAATCATTGAGGCAGTGCTGCACGAAAGGAACTCATTAACCAAGGCAGTCATTAAACATGATATGACAATTATCCATTTGATGTAATGATCATTAGTTAAATACGAAATGAGAACTGATATGACAATTACAGATTTGATGTGTCGATCATTAGCAGTATAAGGATGGTAAATCTCTCGCGTGTCTGACAATTGGAATCCACAGACATGTTTATGCACCAACAATGTGCTACCAGCACTGTCATATTTCACACTGTCGCTAAATGCAGCACCAGACTACAGGCAATAACTTATTGCATACATCCCTAATAGAGAACTGTGCTGCACTCAGCAGTGTCTTACTTCACTACAGCTGAATACAAACCCGGGGATATCAGCAACACCATACTCCCTGCTGAGGCCGAATATACCCCGGGCACATCAGCAACGCCTAACTCTCCGCTGTGGCCAAATGCAGGGCTGGAATCTAAGCAGCGCCGTACATTACACTAAAGGTAAACAGTGCTTGAATATCACCAGCGCAATACTTACCTCTACAGATAAATACAACGCTAGCGTGTAAGGAGCGCCTTTCTTTCAACTATAGGTTAATGCAGTGTTGGAATGTCAGTAGTGACTTACTTAACATTACAGGTAAATACAATGCTACAATGTTAATGCTGTAATTGAATGTCAGCAGTATAGGTAAAACAGTACTGAATGTAAGTAGAGCTACTTAACAGTATAGGTAAAACAGTACTGAATGTAAGTAGAGCCTACTTAACAGTATAGGTAAAACAGTGCTGAATGTAAGTAGAGCTTACTTAACAGTATAGGTAAAACAGTGCTGTATGTAAGTAGAGTCTACTTAACAGTATAGGTAAAACAGTGCTGAATGTAAGTAGAGCCTACTTAACAGTATAGGTAAAACAGTGCTGAATGTAAGTAGACCCTACTTGACAGTATAGGTAAAACAGTGCTGAATGTAAGTAGGGCCTACCTAACAGTATAGGTAAAACAGTGCTGAATGTAAGTAGGGACTACTTCACAGTATAGGTAAAACAGTGCTAAATGTAAGTAGAGACTACTTAACAGTATAGGTAAAAACAGTGCTGTATGTATGTAGAGGCTACTTAGCAGTATAGGTAAAACAGTGCTGAATGTAAGTAGAGCTACTTAACAGCATAGGTAAAACAGTGCTGTATGTAAGTAGAGTCTACTTAACAGTATAGGTAAAACAGTGCTGAATGTAAGTAGAGCCTTCTTAACAGTATAGACAAAAACAATGTTTGACTATAAGAAGCATCCTTCTTCACACTTACTGACAGCCGAATAAAATGGTGGTTGGGGGGAGGGGGGGTTCCGTATAGGTAAATACAGTGCTGAATTATCATTATCAAGAGTGCCTTGATATATTTTACCACTCTCTTAAACACCATGCAGAAACCGAGCTTGCTTACATAAATGACGTAAGATCGACGGGTTATGTTCGTCAATCCGTACAGAATGTTTTATGGAGTTATTCATTTTACTCCCCGTAGTAAACACGGTTATAATAACGCTAAACTTTGAATTTGACAATCTTATCAATTTTAGTATTCATTTAATCATTCAATTATCATAGACAGCAGAACCATGCTTTAAATACCATGGTAGTCAGACACAGAATTATTGTAAACAGTATGATTGTTCTTTATGCATTGTTTTCCAGCATGTGGCTATACTTATAAACAACATGTTAGACCAGAGACAGCCAGAATCAGTCAACAGACACATCAACCCCTCCGAACTATGTCCGTCATAGTCCAAATATCTCCCTGGATTTCACTGTCAGGCTTTCATTTGTTCAAGGATAATTGACGTCTACTTAGACCAGAGAACAGCATTTAAATGAAGATAGCTTATTTAGTCTGCGAAATCCCATTTGCCATTCGTGTCTGCACTTTGAATATATGAGATTGTCGTATTTATGGTGCGAAAGACTGGCTATGTTTGGTGTATAATTGCTGACTTTATAGCAGAAAATACTATATATTCTATGCCAAAAGGCATTCCTTAGCATTCGCTGTCTCTTTTTCGGGAGGGAGCCGACATTTAATTATATACACGTGAGAGATATAAAATCAAGTTACAAACTGTTCATCGCTCGTTAAAGATAAAATTTGATAGAAACCGACTCATGACTAAATGTTATAAGTGTCATGAAACTCAATTACCTGGACACTAATCCGGTATTTTGAAACAGTTGAAAATCATGATGACGACATGTGTCATCTGGCGTGATTTGGGGGTCTATCATTGACTCTTCGCTATTTCGTTCGCATAACAAATTTTTACATGTAAGTCAAGGCTTGATGTTGAAAGCGCGAACAAGTAGCAATGTATTTGTAGTATTGAGAAAATATATCATATCCTGTCTTTTAAATTAGGATGCATCCAGCTTTCCAATGAAATATTATTTTCTGATTTTTTAATGTTTTGTTATTAATTCCAAAGTCATGAATCAGAGAATGCAAAAAAAAAAAAAACAATTAAACTGTAGTAAGACAATGCCCAACTGAACACACCCAGAAACATTCACCTTCTACTCTCACGAACATATACATTTAAAAACTGTCAGCTCAAATCAATACATTAATCTGCTTTCGGCCACAACACTGGCCATTATGAACATGTCGTCGTCTCTGTATTTGTAGGAGTTCTATAGCTAATACATGAATGTACAGTGACACGTTGATATAAGTGCTGATAATGTTCTTCTAAACAGGTTTGCTAAATTAAAGCGGAATCATGTTTCGTTGGTGTTTTGAAAACATTTACATGTACCATGCTTACAATTCATTTTTTTTACCTTGTATCAAATAACACTACTGCGAGCTTCTTGGTTTATTAAGAAAGAGTTAGGTATTTTTCGCTACTCCAAACAGAAATT